TCAATTCTTGGCAGATTTGTGCTTTCTGCTTTCACAAAACCGGCATCCATAATTAGTTTTGTCAAAAAAAACTAAGTTTACTGTTTTTTTCTTTCCTAAAGTTAAAAGTGTTTTAAGATAAATTTAGTCAGACGAAAGAATCCATCCTGCAATCTTATGGAATAACCTTCCATCAGAAGTCCGTCACTCGGCATCACTTGCAACATTCAAGAACAAGCTTCATGAACATCTTTTATCAAGGTCCTAGTTTGCAACATATAACTTATATGTGTAGTGTATGTGTATATATTATTCTATTAATATTATGTTATGTTTGTATCAGTACCTATAAGCATAGCATATTATTGTTTATGTATATATATATATGTATGTAGGTGTTATTATTTGTATGTATTTTATATAATATATATAATGTTATTTCTATTTTATTTTGTTTTATATTTTGCTGGCACATTACTCTTCTATCTCTGTTAAACTATCCTTCGACTTAAAGGTTGTCTGGAAGAGATCGCTTTCAGCGATAAGACCGCCTTTACCCACCATAGTTGACTATCTGTTTTGTAAACCCTTTAATTGTGTATGTGTGAGTAATAAAGTGTTTATCTATCTATCTATCTATCTATCCATCTACAGTAACACGTGAATGACATTTAATTGTTTACCACAAGAGACGTCAAAATCATGCCGGATGTGGCGAACAGCGTTTTTAGTGTTTAAAAAATATAGACTAAAAAATATTTTTTAAAATTAAATTTCTACAGCAATCTTCTGCTTTTATGAAGTGAAATCGATATATTTAGGTTCCTTAGACCAAATACTTTAAGAAATAAACATTTATTTAATACAATTCGACATGAGTAAACTAGCCTATTCTTCTCTGTGATTTGAATATGTTTTAGAAGAAGCTCAGGTTCACCACTCACACTGCTTTTCAAATAATGTAATTATTGTACATTACTTAATGCCTTATAGTTATGAATTAATGATACATATAAATCTTTGAAAGTAACCCATTCATTATAATCTCCTTTGAAATTGGGTATATTAATCTTAGGCAATTTCACTTCCTGGGGATTCTTTTCCAATGGAATTTGCTGGTCATTCTTCACATTTTGACATTTCATACTATCTAGCAACTCCGTCATATCATATCTGACATACATATAAGATACTCGTCTTCACATGTAGAATAGAAGTCATTTTCAAAGTACTCGTGTTTCTGTCTTTGCTCGGATGTAGACTGTTTAACAATATCACGCTGTGTTTCACAAAAAATATGCCAATGTTTATCCAAACTTTGTAATCTTACTTCAATATAACTCTTTGTCAATCTAGGTTTTGGCGATTTTTTTGAAATTAGCTACAGCCTTTCGTATAAGTGCAAAGTTGTTTTCCTGTAGTACTATAAGACCTTCCATCATGTAATTGTTACTTTATTTTAAGAAAAGTTAAATTTCAAATCGTCCAATATTTGGTGTTTTTACCCTGCCATAGTTTTTCATGTGTTTTCCTGAGGTTTTTTCATAATAATGATTAAATGGTCTTTCAATCACTCAATTCAATATTTAATTATTATAATTCTTTTGTAAACACAGTTAATAAGTCTTTAGAAACACAAATACGTAAGATAATATTCTTATTTTTACGGTCTTACTCAATTCCAGTACGAAATGTCAAACACCATTACTATCACAAATTATATTTCTCACTACTAAATTTTCTTCTTATTACTTATTTAAACTTCCTTTTTTCTATCCGGCTCGAAGGACCAAATTGTAGACTATAAACTCACTTTATTTTAATAAAACTACTATTTTAACCGAAACTATGTATTTTCCAACGAACTGACAACTAACAACAACGTAACTAGAGAAACGACGACATTGAGGAGTTTTTAATGCTTTCTAAATTTAACAAACTATACCATGAAGTATGGATATACAAAATATCTCATGCAAACATACGTTAAATATATAAACTTTAAAATATTTAAATAAGTAGATAAATCAAATCCAACAGTACCGTAATTCCAAAAATAATTATCAAAGTTTTAAAGTGAAACTTTTTATTACATTATGATTGCCACTATTTTCGTTCATCTTCAGCATTGTCGCTGTTCCGTCATCGTATATATTTTGTAATTTTACCTATAACAGTCATTCAACATCGCATAATTTTCCTTTAAAATTGAGATCGTTATATGGGTAATTTTAAAGTAATGAGGTGCACCTTTGAATGAGCGTTGCTAAGCACTTCCTACCATATAAGACATCAGTAGCGGGTAATCGTGAAAATAACTTTATACATCCACCGCCCGCTTACTCATACGATTGAAAGGAGGCGGGAATGCAAAAAATTATAATCGCGTCGCCGCCCATTGTCGCGTCCCGCGGTCTTCCGTGCGGATCCATCATCACCCTGGACTGCGGTACTAAGCACCCGTGAACCCACCAGCGCATCCGGTGAAATCATCGTCATCCAAAAGTAAGAGAGTGTTTTATACTCGTTACTTTAATTCCCTTCCAGTTATCCAGTCTCGTTTTTCGTCGGCAGATGGTGCGAAATAGTCTGACCCAGTTGTAGCATAAATCCACCAATCGTTTTTTTTTTATTTTTATTTGTGTGTGGTGCAGATGCTACACTCGCATTCCATTTTAAATTGTAATTAGAAATCTTTAAAATTAATACCTTTTAACAAGCATCGTTGGTCCAGTGGTAGAAAGCTCGCTTGCTACGCGGGCGATTTTCGATTTCCATCAGGGGAAATACTTTTTTAACATTTATTAAAGTTTCACTTGCATCGTGGTTCATAAAACATTTCTGAATGAAATGTAAATCGCATAGTATTTATGGTCGAAGTGGCTATGTTTTATAAAAGCAATTTGGCCGATGTTAATTTGTTTTTTAAATATTTATTTATTCATTAGCGTTATTGAGTTGGGATATCAACGAAAAGAAAAGGAAAATGAATAGTTTAAATAACATAATTTTATGAATACTACATAACTTTTAGCTGACGGAAATTAGAATTCTGCGTTATCAAATATTAGCTTTTAACTTATTCATGGTACTAATCTGTTTTTGGTGAGCCTAATAAAAATGAGATTAATTTTCGGGGAAATAATTTTCTAAAATAATTTCATCTTCCACAGATTCAAGTTAGAAGGGAAAAAGTACTCTAGCTAGACAGTGAATAAAATTGGGCTTATATTTAAATGAAACTCAAATAAATCCTAAATGACATTAAAAAAAACAGCTGGTCTAGGGTTCGAATCCTGATGGGACAAATATTAGTATGATGAATACGAGCATTTGTACCTCAAGTTATGAATGATTTTATGTATTCTTATATAATATACTCGTATAATTATGTATCAGCTTAAATATGTTTTCCATCCGTTACCCTAGTTTCTCATAACATAACACAAACTTTATAGTGCTTACGTTGTGGTTAGATTAATCGGTGTGAGTGAAAGAAATATTCATTTTTTGATAACAAAGAAAACTGTTCGTTAGGTATCATAATTATAAGCACCGCACGCACTAGACAGCTACGACCAAGGCCAGTTGCTGCAACAACCAGATTAACTAAAAAAGCCATACGAACGTCGCGCACTTGGCCACAAGGGCCAACTATAGTTACTCATCGTTGCGGCTACTGGAATGTTTTTTTTTATTTATTAGATAATATAAACAAAATACAGTAATTAATAAAAAGTACCACAAAAACCCACATTGGGTTTGTCCGGTTACTGAGTCACATAAGCCGTCAATACATAGTTTGATATTCGCAAATTATATACTTTTCCAGTTCTGATTCTCTGTTCTGTTGATTATAATTATTATAGCAAACCATGAGACACTTAAGTATTCAGAAATAAAAGATGGAATTACACTGTTACTTCGCATTCATATCTTATTAATCAAGTTATACGTTCTATTTACTACACAATTAACATAAATACTACAGTGTCAATTTCTATTTTAACCTGCCTAAAAGTTAATATGAGTTATAGATAATAGTACGTTACAGCGCAAATAGGCAATACACAACAATTTCCATAACCATAATTAATGCCGTTTAGTGCGCGAGGTGCCTTATATCATTTTAAGAGAGGTTGTTTAGATAGCGGATTTTTCGCTCGAATGGGAGCGCCTATCAGTGGGGGGAAAACCTCAACCTTACAGCAGGCCACAGTAAAATAACACTACCTTTTGGATGTGTTATGTTTCTGTCGGTGAGTGAGGTTCCAGGGCTACACAGGGTAGGGTAGGAGCACGATACATACAAGAGCAATACTTTGACTTTATACTAGAGTCTGAATCGACGCACGCACACAGACAAACGTCATTTACACGGCCGCTAACCAATCTTGGCAAGACAAATCTACGCAGTGCCACGTCGCGCGCCGTCGAGACTTGTCATTGGCCGAGTTAAATTAGTTGCGCCGCGCCATCTGCCTCTGTTTCGATTCCGTAATGTGGCAATAGTAACTGGCAATACAATAAAAATCTACTCAAATCTGTTTTATATTTTGTAGGTACCAACCCTAGCGCTGCACTCAGTCGTAGGTATCTATTTCAAGAAATCGGCTGAGTTACGCTACTGCTCTTGTATGTATTGTGGTAGGGGATAGGAGAGTCAGGTTAGGCCACGATGCGCGTGATATTTTTGATATCGCAAGCGTCTATAGGTTATGTCTATTATTATCAGGTGGGTCATATTGCCACCCTTTTAACTTAATAAAAAACGAGCGACCTTTATATTAGTCGCGTATGATGTCTAACATTTGAATAAAAATTATATGTTAATAAAAAAAGAAATAAAACCTACACTTCAAAAGGAATAAGCCATTTGAACATTATGTTCTAAAAGCAAATCAAATAGCGCACTTCTCAAACTTTCTGTTACACACTTCCGTCCCCCTTCACGTAATCACTTCCACAAATTGCACAAAAGCGAGAGGAAAGATGTTACACATCAAAAATGTTGCTCTTACCCATAATGTATATCGAAGCCACCCATAATGAGTGTCTCACCAGTGCCCTTGCAGGATCCCGTGTAGTAGAGCTCATCGTAATCTTTGCACCGAACAGCCGTGAACGGCACGTCCGATATTATGGACTCGGAGAAGAACATGTGCGCGCGATTGTGAGCGCACAAACCTGAAGCAAAAAATTAAATATTTCCCACAGTCACACCAATTAGCTTGGCCCCAAAGTAAGCACTGTAAGGCTTATGTTATGGTATGCTAGAGAAACGGATATAAAATATATATAAACATCCATGACTAAGGTACAAATACTCGTATTCATCATAATAAATATTTGCCCCCACCGGGATACGAACCCGGGACTTCTGAGTAACGACCCCTTGAATCCCTTCATACCACTCGGCCGCGGAGGTCGTCAAATAAGTTTTATTAACTTGTCAAACCAAAAAGAAGCAAAAGGCTTATTAACTTCTCTAAACAAACGTATTGTATCTATTTGTACATCCCAGTTCAAAGGCCGTTCCAGGAATTCTTAACATGATCCATATATCATTAAGATCAAAAGGAGATACCGTTCTTAACTACGAGTATGTACGTAGTTATCCTCGTTTTAATCGTATGCATTTGGTGCATGCATACATAATTATACGGTGGCTCACATTAACAAACGGAATTGATTGCGTTAAAAAACATCCCACTAGCCAATATCTTTGTTTTACACGGGACGCGGATTTTAGAATTCTGCATAACAAAGCATAATGCTGTTTCATAATATTTTTATATGTCATCACCATCATTTATTAATGTCCCCTCTGCTGGGGCACAGGCATTTCCAAATGGATGGCATAGGGACTTTGGGCCATGACCAACCACGTGGGCCCAGTACTGATTGGTTAACGACTACGTTCGCAGCTGGGACCAACGCCTCAATGTACCTTCCGAAACACGGGAAATCCGAGATAGCAAAATTTTGGCTACATATCTTATAATCGACGATTTCGAAATATGCTTAACTTTCACGATCACAGACCGAGTGTGCTAATCACTTATGCCATCGAATTCTCAATTGTGCAGGTATACAAAAAGTGCATTCATCCCGAAGGCATACCACTCCGTGATTAATAGAGGTAGCGCAAACTTCTTGGTAAATAAACTTGCGCAGTAGACGATTTATATAAATATAATTGCTTCTGCGTAGGCTACGTTGTCCATGGTTTGTACTTCTTAAGTACAAACCATGGACAACGTAGTATGCCGGAGTGTATACTAATATTCGTTTAGTGCACAATCCGTTACAGACCTCTATAATCCCATCCACAGCCTGGCTGCCTTATGCCCCCGTTTGGATAGAAGTCGATGTAGCCCAGAGAGGACGTGAACCCCAAGTATCTGCCGCAGATGTGGATAACTTCCACGAGGCGAGCGTCATGCTTGTCCAGCCGAGCATCCCTGTTGCCCATCGTGAACAACGGCAGAGCTTTAAGCCACCCATCATACGATCGGCCATTTCAAAAGTTAAAAATCTTCTACGATGGCAGACCGAACGCATTGACCACTTGCGCCATCGAGCTCCTCGATTGCATTGGTATACAAATATCTGTAATAATCCCAAAGACATGACTTACTACTCCGTAATTGGACGTTTTGTGCGCATACCCATTACTGACCTCTGTAATCCCACCCGCAGCCTGGCTGCCTTGTGCCCCCGTTCGGATAGAAGTCGATGTGGCCCAGAGGGGACGCGAACCCCAAGTACCCACCGCACGTGTGGATAACCTCCACGTGGCGAGCGTCGTGCTTGTCCAGCCGAGCGTCCTTGTTACCCAGCGTGAAAAGCGGCAGAGCTGGATCCAACCCTGTATATTTAGAGTGTATATTATATTTATTGGAACGTAGCAATAATTTAGTACAATAAATTACGACCCAAGTTTTGTAAGTTGACTTTGTTAGGATTGGAAAACTAAACTAAGCTGAGCTTGTGCTATGGTAACTAAATAACGTAGGTAGGTATACAATACGAAATCCAAACCCAACACAGGGCATATGGTTATTAAATTAAAGGCATGACACTATACTGTATTGCAAGCATCTATAGGCAATGACGAGCACTTACCATACAGACGCCATATGCTTGTTTGGCATCATTCACTAAAAACACGGATTAGTATTCACAATTTCACACACACTAACTCAATTAACGTACTAAGGTTAATAATGCTATGTTTTCTTCAAAAGTTTAACAAAAAATGAAAAAGAAAAGTTTTCATAAATCATTTTTACCCGTAATTGTGTCAATAGGTCCTTCCCTCACATAAGCTCCAGCGATGCCAACTACGTGTGCGCCGAGGCTATGACCTATGAGGTGCATGTCGTCCATAGAAACGCCCACGTCTATGAGGAAGTTCAGGAACTCTGTCAGCAGCCGCCCAACCATTGCGACGTTGTAACTGGCCAGGATGTAGTTGACGTTGGCCGCAGTGCCCCAATCTACTACTATTATGTTTAAGTCGCTCACATTCAAATACGCTGAAAATGAAATTAATAATATTTACCATATGTGAGTATTCAGCAATAATCTTCACCATAATACTTATTCCATTACACTGAAACAAGTTTTCTAGAAATAATAAAACTATAGTTAATATAAATAATGCCTTGTACTAGGGTGGGACGAGGCGATCGTTAGCCGGAAATATTAATCAAACTTTGCTGACCACTTGCCTATAAGATTTCCCTTATGAACCATCTACATGATTTCTTTCCTTAACTTTCAGGCCAGAAATAAAATTTATAGAAAAGCAGATAAAATTAAGATAATGAAGTTAGCCTATCTACTATATTTTTTATATAAATTAGTCCATTATATCTTGGAAGTAAATAAAAACCACATGCAAGATATTACAAAATTAAATAATTATTCTAACTACTAAATTGTGTAACCTACATTATATTTACGAAGATAAAACATTAAACAGATTACGTATTATCTTAAAATAAAATAAAAAATTGACTAGACAGAATTACTTATTCATAAAAGTAATACTGAAATTTATGGTCTCTGTTCATTAATCATAAATAATCATAAAGAAGATAAGATTTAGCCACGTTTCTGCGACACTTAATTATAACAATTTATAGCTGTCTCGACCTTGGCAACTCGCACTTTTCTGCGACTGAAATATCTCTAATTACTCTTAAAAATATGTCCATTTATGAACACAATTATAATTATCTTGTTATATATCTGGAAAAGGCGTTACTCCTCCTGAACCACCGAGAGTGGCGTGAACAGGCTATCTGAAGACTCCTCCATAACCATTTCATCCAGCCCCAAAAAATCCAGATAATACTCCTGCAGCGGTTACGGCAGCACGCAGAAAACGGACTAAAGGACTATGAGGACCAAGGTTCCCCTAATGCGTATCGAGAGTGCGGGTGGTGTCGTGGCACCCGATTTCTAACTGGCTGCGCATCGCATATCTAGACAAGCCAAGTTCAAGCAAAGGAACTGGCTAGCCAGCGCCGAGTGTAATATTATACTACAAAAGAAATAAGCCATTTGAACATTGTGTTCTAAAATCAAATCAAATAGCGCGCGCTTTCGCAACTTCCTGCTACATACTTCCGTCCCATTTCACGAAATCACTCCCACAAATAATAATAATTGTAGCTTTATATAACAGAAATATAAAAATAAAGTTAAGTCAAAAAATAAATGGTGTTCCCATACAAAAAACTTGTAATACGCGCTAAACCCGCCTAGTTTTCTTTACAAAAAGTAATGATATCCCACCAAAAACATAAATGTAAAAAAGGAGAGCCAAGTTTAATACAAAAATTATGCCTACAAACATTGCTCACATTTTAAATCTTAGTGGTGAAATCGAAATTATTATAAAATTCCACATGCTGAAGTTATTTTACAAGAATAATAATTAAATTTTATTTGAAAATCCTACTAAAAACTAAAGTTCCAACTTTCAAGCCTTTTTGAGTAACTTTAAGTTATTTCAGGAAGCTGAGTTACTTTTTTTTTAAAACAACATTCAAGAAAATTATGTCACAAAAAAAAGACTGCAAAATACTCACTACGAAAAAAGATATGAATTTTTGAAACCTCGCTGACAGAAATCATTAAAAATACACAAAAAAAAATATAACTCTAAAACTAAGAAAATTTGTGGATTATACATGGGGTATTTTCGGAAACCCGCAGGTGCGAGGAATCAAAAAAAATGTTGACGTCACTAATTGAACCAACCTGTATGTTGAATAACTTTATAAAATGACTGATGATTACACCAGTCATTTTACAAAGTTATTCAACGTTTTTCATTAGAAAACTGGCCAAGTTAAATTTAACCTACTTTAAGATCTTACATTTCTAAATAACAGCATTTGTTATAAGTATACAATAAAGCAAAGAAATAGAGTTTAATACTTGATCATAATGTTATTTTGTTCCTATAAATAAATATTTGGATTTTGCATAGAACTTGGCACTCATTTAGATCTCCATTCTTTTGCGGCGAAGCCCATAGCGAAGCATAATTTTTGTATTGAACTTGGCTCTTCTTTTTACATTCATGTTTTTGGTGGGCTTTAAACTAATTTTAGAGCTTTTTGGAAACTCATCTCAAATTGGAACACCCGTTTGGAAAAGTTACTTCCACCTTACGGAGAACCAGTGCCGTGTTTGACCTATTGGAGGCCCTGGGCATATTAGGATAATGGGGCCCCTATGACCCCCGTTTGGTGATTTAACAGGACTAGGGACTTTGTATTTGATCTGAGGAGGCTATCGATCGCGGGGCCCTGGGCACTTGCCCAAAGTGCTCACTGGGAAAGAGGGGCCTGCAGAGAACACAGTGAATTAGTAATGGTATGAGTTAGTGTTATATTTCTGTAGGTGAGTAACGTTCTAGGGCTACTTGGGATTGGGGATATGATTAGGGTGTGATAGGATTCAGAAATGTGAAATTATCAGGAAGAAGATTGTTCCAAATCTTTGCTAATTGAAAGTCTTAATCGGACACATCTAAGTAGGCAGGTACACTAAAATTATATGTGTCAAATATCTTTAAAATATTGGAATCTATACTACAGACATGAAATAACATCAATAAAAGTACATCGATTCACGCAGTATGTGTAGTTTAAAGGAAAGGTGCTGCCAATATTAGCTCACATTATGAACTTCGCCCAAGTACTAATGTATTATTTAAGCATTGAGCCGACAAGGGATTCAGCCAGAGGCTACGTCGTCGACGGCAAACTTAAATTATTTTGGATCGATTTCTACTTGAGAAATCGCAGGTAAAGAATCTTAGCTAACTAATAATTTTCTATTTTATCTTACTTGATACCAATATAATAGCATGATAATTTTCTCAGTATTACCGCAACGAGTAATAAGTAGGTACTTAAGTCACTGGAAATATTGCCGTTTCCAGAAAGTGAAACCTCAACGCAGATAGTAACATCTACGTGGGTAATTTCACAGCTACTATATTTATACGTTTTCTTATTAACATTTCATTTTAAAGTAGTTTCTAGCAAATTTTATTTAGAACTAGCAAACTGTCCGGTTTCGACCGGTTGCAATAAAATAATGAAAAGTTTTCCAAATATTATTACGCTATCCAATTTTTTAAGAGATTTATGCAGTATTCTCCAAAATCCTTTAGCCAGTACAAACTTTATCGTGACAATAACAAACATAACAAAAAATAAATAATCCAATTTGATGCAGACTTTCGGAAGTAATGTGATTCGATGATTTATTTTTATGTAGGTATATAGACAGATGTTTTACGAATTGTTTAATAAGGTGAAAATCACACGATAGATATATATTAAAACCGATGAAGTATAATACCTCGTGATCATCATCATCCTATAAAGGTTCCCCTTGTTGGGACACCAGCCCCACCACGTGGGCGTACTACGAATCGGTGGGCGCTAACGACTGCAGATGCAGCTGAGCCTACACAACAGCACCGAATTATGAAGGAAAATGTGATAATACTAATTTTGCTCTTATTCTGTGACCGGTCCTTGCTAAAGTTGCTTAACTTCGATGATTGCAGACTGAATTATTTAGGTATTTGGTCCTGGGAGGAATACCTCAGTCCCTACACAATAATAAATAAATAAACATTGTAATAAACGGGATTGTTTTGATACTAACCTTCTTTTATGGATTCAGGCATTGGACTGTCTCCGTGATTTAGCCAACCATGTGTAAGCACCTTCACTTTTCTATTGAAGTCGAAGTTTGAATCCCACAGGGACATGGAATCATTGATTTTCAGGACTTGAAACTCGTAAGGATTACGCCTGTAATCCAAATAAAAATTAAAGAGATTATCACAAAACGTTAAAGAAATGAAGGATATTTAACGTATGTTTTACGTTACATATCCTTCATTTCTTTAAAGTTTTGTGCTGATCAATACTGTCAGTTGCCCGAGTCCTTCAGTCTTTGGCAACAAATTAAACTGGTCTGACTGACCTGAGTAATAATAGTTGCTTCATCTATCCAAACTGCGAACGTTGTACAACTTCGCCTGTTGTGATAAGCATACTATCTGCAACTGCTGTCGCTTAGTTACATGGCTACATAGAAATTTTCATTGAATCAAGTTTATCGCAATATCTATATTTAAGTACCTATCAATTTTTAAATAAAATGGTGCTATACCGCCATGCAGCCCTTTTTAATACTGGTTATTTAAAAAAAAAACATCGTTTGGGTCTCAGGACGCAAAACAGAAGTGATAACTTAAATTAATGTAAGTGGCGCTGCAGGTTACAGTGAGAGAGGAAGGGCAGGGAGATAGACTAGCGCTGTAACGCGTTACGTAACGATGCGGTTTACCCTCCCATAATAAGTTATCACTTCAAAAAGGATGAACGCGTTCAATTAAAAAAATAGTATCACGAGTTAATTTGCAAATAGATTAATTGCCAATTATAACCAGGATGAATTACGATACTTACAACAATGTGCTGTTCAATTTACTGATATCGGGACGGCACTAGTTTGATCTTTTCATTCTATATATTTCGTACCTTGTAAACAGTTTAAACTGGACATCTTGCTCATAGACCCAACCCCACCAGAATCGGGTCTCGTTAAGCGGAGGAACGGCAGGGTACTCTAGTACACTAGCGAGCCAAACTGGGTCATAAGGCGTTGGTGCCTCCCATTCCACCGCCGACACTCCTGCAAGAAAAGATCAAATAATTTCAATAAATTTCAAAAAGCTTACAAAACACAAGAATACCTGTGTGGTGTGAGTGGTATATATGTTATGGGTTATGTGATTAATCGCCCACTATTCATAATGCCCCGGCAATACGAATAATACCCAATAAGAGCGGGCATTGTGAGTATAACCAATCAATTTATCACATTGCCCGGGCATTATGAATAATGCCAAGTGCCTATTGAGCATGACAAGTAATGAAATCCATTATCGGGTAGAGTAATAATAAAAAAAGATTTAATGTTTAGTACCAATTTATTTTTAAAATTTAAATAATCAGACTTCGGTTTTACTTCGATCAATTTACGAAGGGCTACATTTAGAAACTATAGTCTATAGTAGTTTCAATGCAGTTTGTTTGAAAAATTCATTAAATTGTTAAATGTTCAGAATTTATGGTTTCCTATTTTTTAGGATGAAATCGGTTCTGAATTAAAGACTGTTGTAAAGCCACATTTACCTTTTTTTCTAAGTGTTGAGTCCATACTATTTTTTATGTACCAAGATCTCAAAACAAACACAAAATGGCGAGACATCTGTCGTTTTCACAATAGTACCAACTTTTTGTATTTATTCATACTGCCCGGTCCAAGCGACAAATCAAGCTATCTCAAACACTGACTTATTACATGGACCACGAGCCGTCCGGCATTATTAATAATGACCGGGCAATGTGATAACTAGGCGAGTTTAGATTGTAATTAATCACTTGGCCCGATTTGGCTGGGCATTATTCATACTGCCCTGGCATTATAAATACTGCCTGCATTAATCACTTGGCCCATAACATATACACAAGTTTTCAGTGTCGCCTACTCAGAAGACTGAATCCCGGCGTTCGAATCACGGTGGTTAAACAGTTTGTATTATGAAATCTACGTCGAGGACGTTTTGTATAGACATATTTTTTTATCCGTTTCCCTAGTACCCCACAATACTAACCTTACAGTGCTTACTTTGGGTCTAGGCTAATTGATGGATTAGAAATATTTATTAATTGTATTATAATTCAATTATAAACAATAAATTAAATAAAAGAGATAGTAATAATAACGCCTAAAAACTGTTGTATGTGAGGGCTGTCAACCTTACAGTATTGTTTCCGGACGACATTTACGACACTACCAAGGACATAGATAAATCTCGGTACCGGACTATTTTTACTTTTTTCACCGTTTATTTATGTACCCTCTGCCATCAGTTTTAAGTATGGACAACGAGTTTTGAACGGAACCCACCACTAGGTTCCAGTACGGAATTTTGGTTTACTCTGTATCCAATACCAAAATGAAGTCTGTTTTTGTTTGATTATAAGATTGCATGTAGGTATTCGCTTTGTTGTGCAATAATTTATACAGTGTCGAACTTTCACTCTTCATATACAATAAAAATAGGAAGCATATCCATATTGAAATCATCGTTATTCCACGCTTATAAACGAAACATCCATAAATATATTGCATTATCTATGCGTCTACGTGGATTCGTATCGAGACTTTATTTTAGTATTCAGGTAAGGATTTATGAATCGAGTTTGCGTAGGTGTAACTACGGCATAGTGAAAGTATCCGTTATGTGTAATATGTACATAACTAAGTCCTTTCTCAGGTATAATATAATTCATAGACCTTAGCTAGATTAGACATAATCAAAAGCAATTTAGTTACTCTGTGAGCTTAGCTTAAGTCAACCACATCAATTAGGTTTTGGTATACGTCTAGGTTGTGAGGCGGGAATACATGCCGTTCGGACTTTTGCAATGGATCCGGAGAATGTGGATGGAGTGATAGTTAAGCTAGATTTGAAGAACGCCTTCAATACTCTTGAAAGGGACGTCATGCTTCGTGAGGTGATGGAGAATATCCCTGAGCTTTATCCTTTCCTCCACCAGGCATATCATATACCTTCTAACCTATATGTCGGCACTGATTTAATCCTGTCCCAGGTTGGTGCGCAACAGAGAGACCCCCTCGGCCCCCTCGCCTTTAGCCTTGCCATTCACAAAGTGATCACTGAGCTCAAATCGCCCCTCAACATCTGGTACTTAGATGATGGGACCATTGGGGGTAAACCAGAAGAAGTGGAAAGGGACTTAGCTTTCTTATTACCTCGTCTGGGGGAGTTAGGTCTAGAGGTAAATTTTACAAAATGCGAGTTCTTTTCCTGTAGTTCGGTGTCATCTCAATCCTTTTCGTCTTTCACTTGTTTGCTTCCGGGCCTCAAGGAACTCAATAAAGATTCTTTTAATTTGCTTGGTGCTCCTATTTTTCCATCTGCAGTTCCGGAGGCCATGAAAACTCGTAAGGATGTTCTCTTGCTGGCCAGCGAGCGTCTAGAGGCCATTGCTCCTCACGTTGCTCTAGTCCTCTTGCAGAAATGTTTTGCCATCCCAAAAATAACATACCTCCTTCGGACGGCTCCAGTTTGGATGTTCTGTGATGATATTGCTTCTTTTGACGCTGTCATAAAAAATGCGGTTCAGACAATTTTAAATGTCTTCCTGAGTGGCAACCACTGGAAACAGGCATCTTTGCCAATCCGATACGGGGGCATTGGGGTGCGTTCTGTTGGTGATGTGAGTCTCCCGGCTTTCTTGGCCTCGGCCCATGGGGTTTCGGGCCTTGTAGCTAATATTTTGTCTATGAATGGCGACAAGGTGACCGTACCCTTTGCGGCCGATGCTTTGGCAGCCTGGTTAGCTCTCGTCCCGGGTGCAGCCGTGCCTAGGAACCCCGAGTTCCAGCGCTCATGGGACGACGTTAATTGTAAAGCGACACTTGAACTGCTTACTGGTGGTGCCACGGGAGTCGATCTTGCGAGGATTTTGGCGGTTTCACAGCCTGAATCCGGGGCGTGGCTGCACGCATTACTTTCGCCTCATATGGGCACTTTACTTGACGGTGACTCTTTGCGGGTGGCGGTCGCCCTCCGCTTGGGCTGCGATGTATGTCAACCACATGTATGCATCTGCGGTACCATGGTGGGGGCTGACGGCCATCACGCATTGAGCTGCCGTCGATGTACAGGCAGACACCCACGTCACCATGCTCTAAATGACATAGTGTTGAGAGGCCTTAGGTCGGCCGGCGTTCCTTCCGTCCTCGAACCACCTGCACAGACGGAAAACGGCCTGATGGTCTTACATTGGTACCGTGGGAGAAGGGACGATGTTTGGTGTGGAACGCGACGTGTGTCAGCACTTTCGCCGCTACCCACATCAGCCGCACGACACGCAGGGCTGGGGCGGCGGCTGAGTATCAGGCAACGGCGAAGCGCTTAAAATATTCCTCGTTGGGGCAAGGATATATTTTCGTGCCTTTGGTGGTGGAAACGGCGGGTTGTTGGAGCGCAGAGGCCAAGCAATTTGTGTGGGACCTGGGCCGCCGACTCAGACAAAAAACTAATGACCCTCGCTCCGGGTCGTTTCTGGCACAAAGATTGTCTATTGCCATCCAGCGTGGCAATGCTGCAAGCATAATGGGCACCTTTGCGCCAGAAACGATACGGGGTGATATTTGAATATTATTAGTATTTGTATATTATTCTTGTACATAATGTTAATTTTAGTTATTATATTATATTTTTAAGGTTTTTAGTTTTAGGTTCATTGTTACAACTTTATGCAATTAGAATGTATAATTAATAAATCAACAAATACATAACTGAATATACATGTATATATTGTACATACATATATATGTCGTGGCCATATCGTAGATTTGATCACTTCATGAAATGCTCGAGAATTTCATGAAATGTTTCACTATCTATTGGCCACATCATGATGTAGTTTGGGCAGATCAATGATGAGAAATCGTTTCACGATATGGCCAACTAAACGCGTGGCTACTTCATGAAATGGCAAAAAGTATTTGATCATATTGTAAAGTAGTTACATTAATTACGGGGAGAGGCGCTGCAAGTGCTTTGTTTATATAAGTATATGGCGGCCGCTGCCGACAATGTTGTTTCTCGCATTAAAAAAGTGCATAATTTGTTATTTAATGGGGAAGAAAGTGATAACAAAAGGGTTTTCGACGAAACAAATTAAGGAGAGTAGGGTGACTACGCAAAAGAAATCTATGGACTATTACTGGCTGTCAAAATATATGACATTTTGGAAACTGCGGTTGAGGTACAAAGTGCGGATGAGAATCAATGCCGTACAAAGATATACTGTAAAACTGTACTTCCAGGGCCTAAGAGGTGATTTATGGAGGCACTGCGTTTTCACTGCGTGCCTCCATACCTGCGAGCGATCGTGGAGGACTACCTGCAGGGGAGGTCAGTCCTCTACGAGGGGCCCGATGGACGCATGTGCTCTCGGGCCATGGCCGCAGGGGTACCCCAGGGGTCAGTGCTGGGTCCACTGCTCTGGAACCTGGGGTACAACTGGGTGCTGCGAGGCAGCCTCCTCCCCAATATGGAGGTTGTCTGCTTCGCCGACGACACATTGGTCGCGGCGAAGACAAAGTCGGCAGAGGAGGCGGTTCGTTTGGCGTCGGTAGGCACTGCGCTAACCGTCCGACGCATCCGCCTCCTGGGCCTGGATGTGGCCCTCGATAAAACGAGGGCCATGCTGTTCCACAGCCTACGCCGCAGCACCCAACCGGGGCTCAATATCTAGGTGGAGGGGGTCCGTATACCGGTCGAGGGAAGCCTGAAGTACCTCGGCCTGGTGTTGGATCCCCGATGGAGTTTCGAGGAGCACTTCAAGCTCCTCGCTCCACGGCTGTGCGCCGCCGCAGCCGCACTCGGCAGGGTCCTCCCAAACGTGGGGGGACCAGGAGATGCGTGCCGTCGACTGTATCACGGGGTGATACGATCGATGGCACTTTATGGAGCCCCGGTTTGGGCAGAGTGCCTCAAACCCCGCACGATGGCCCTGCTGCGACGACCGCAGAGGACCATCGCGACCCGGGTCGTGCGAGCTTACCGCACGGTCAGCCACGGCGCC